AAATTTGGTGTTACTAATTGGTAAATATGTTTGTATTGTAGCAATAGCTTATTTTATGAGTAAAATCAGAAATTGTATAAGTTTAAAATTAATGAAATTCAACAATTTACAAACAAACAACAGCCCCCTCCCCCGATCTTTTTTTTCTTTTACTTTCCCTCCTTCTCTTTTCTATTATAACTTTATTTTATTGTTCTTAATTATCTTTTTGTATACCTTTTTTACATGTAAGATTATTTTGAAATAACGCATTTTTTTGGAAAATATATGAATAAAAAAAAGACAAAAAAACTTGTTTTAATTTTTAAGTAGTGGAAGTAACTAATAAGTTGGCGAAGGGTTAATAATAATAACTAATTCACATCTATAATGCTTACCATACTAAATTCCGATGTAATTATTGGATATACATTTGAACAGATTACAAAACACACACAGTAGGCAGGTGATCAACTGGGGATTCCGGTTATCAGTGATCATTCAGAAAATGTCCAAAGTAGGAAAAGGGATACAGTTAAAGATATTACAAAAAGCTAATGTCTAAATGAAGACAATAAAAAGAACATTACAGGTTTGCTAAACTAGAGTGGTAGTCTCTCCCATGTATAGGAGGATTAGTGGGGCCAGAACATGAATTCCATTAGTGTCGTGTTGACTTTATAGCATTATAGGTGTATGTGACTCTGAAGCTGAGAAAATGTCTTCACAATAAACATAAAACCTGAACAAACATAAAAACTGGATAATGCAACTGTGCAACGCTCAAAGGGAAATTTCGCACTGATTTGTTTTCTCTCCCACGCCATTATTTCTTGTGTGGACTAACAACAGATTCGTTTACCAACAACCACCAAAGCCAAAGTGGTACCAGGCATCACCAATAATGGCACGTGTTTTTTAGTAACAACTACACACGGCTATTGTCCTTACTAGTGTATTGGCAATATGTAATAACTAAGAGATAATAATAGTAGGAGTTTTGTCAAATGTTGGTTTTTGATTTTTAACAACAAATACAAACCCGGTCTTCAGGAAAATGTCTTGGTTACTCCACAGCACACAGAAAACGAGAGATCTGTGATTTATCTTCGCTTCCAACCGAGGCTGAAATTATTGCTCCAATTAGGCAGTCTCTTGGTTACTGCTTTGAATAAGAACAGGTGGGTCTGATCGTAACGTAGTTCCACACCACTGTTGGTGAAAAGACCATTAGTAGGAAACAAATGTTTGAAAACATATCGTGACTCATAGCAATAATATCAGGCATACAGGCTTTGCCAATACTGATGAAATATCTCCTTGACATGCATATTTTGAAGAATCTGAAATAAATAGGTCTCCCAATAACATCCCCCACAATGTAAACAGATTTTTTATTAGCGTGCTGGTTGATCTGCAACTCAAAGCTGGATAGCTTGTTGGTTTACGCTTAGGGTGCTTTATGTCCAATCTTCGACTAATCTCAGTTTACAGTTTACCTATATGTATATTCAAAGCTTACATAGTATTTACGTGAGGTAAACACAACGGAATGTAAAAAAACAGTAATGCAGAGGCTTGTCATGGTGGTTTTAACCCCGGGCATGCAGAGTTAGATCCTGATAACTGTACAATCACAATAATTTCTTTACAACTTAATTAATTTACTGCCAACAGTGCATAAAAAGAAATTAATTTTGATGTTTCAACTGCACAATGAATAAGTAGAATCTATAGTCACAACCAGGATATTCTGTCTAACTGCTTCTGTGAAAAATGAATTTTAAAATCAGCTAACACTATGGAAGACGTAATAATAAGAGCAAATGGAAATCTAAAATATGGGTTCCATAGCGAAGTAGTGCAAGTTAGATATAACAGACACCTTTTAACAGATTCCACTTCATTTATTCATAGTAGGCCAAACCACAAATTATTACATTATTATGTCAACTCAGGCGGTGTGCTAGATTGCAGTAAATTACCTCAATATGTAGTTTATGATTACTTACTTGATGATTTTTTACAGTATATGTTACACCAGATGCTAGCACTGAATAACATGACAATGAAGTATTCAATATTTCGACTGTTGAATGTACCACTAGCACACAGTAAAACTATCTGACACACGAGTATTACGCCCTATTCTGAAGAAAATATGGAAGTACCTTTTCCTTGCAATAAGAAATACAGGGTTGTGAATGTGATCACGATTTGTATAGGTGTCAAGTCTCACTGTGCTCACCTCAACGTAGCTGCAAGTTTTATTACACCAAGGTGATCATACACTTCTTATTTGCTGCAGCTGGCGCCTTGATAAACGATTTTTTTTTAGAATCAGTCATTCAGACCTGAAATGTGGAAAGTATATTTAGAAGACTGGAATGGGACTTGTATGTATATGTACCGTAGTAACACCACACCCGGTTATTTACTGTTGCATCGTACATTCAGACACAAGTTAACACAAGTTTACCATTAGAAATACTCATGCGCCAGTGATGCGAGCAGCCTATGTTTTCAATAAACGAGTGAGCAAGGGAAAAATTATGACAGTGATAATAGTGATAAATGCAGGAAGTTGGACGAAATAACTTGTGTAGTTTTGACCTTTCTGGAATCATAAATTAGTTTTGAATATATTAAACATTATAGTAATGCAGAATCTATACTATTACAATATTCATAGTAATATGATGAATCCCCACGATTGGGTACAAGAGTTAGTTTAAAATTAAAATTGTTATCCGTGATAAACATGAAACCATCAAAAGCGACCTTATTGACAAACATTTATTTCATAGTGGGATAGGTTGGGTAAGGCGATGCAAATTTGTATTACTGTCTGATCACAGAGTTTGCAATTCACCATGACCGTTTCCATATAAACAAAAGCTCCAGCCAATATCAGATTTTACTACTTGTTCTAATGTGGTGCACTTGGAAAGTTTTGTGACATATGGCAAATGCCAAACTATCTTGGGTAAATTTCAACTAGAAACAGTTGAACCGGTATACCAGTATGTATAAAGCCAGTGAATTTGATTCAAGCAAAAGAAACTGCATCTACGTATATAAATACACACGGACAACGAATTGCCCTTCTGTCTGTGCTGATTTGGCGGGTTAAACTCACCTTAAATATGCCACACCAGTTACATAGCGCCTGATGAAGAGCTGGGTAGGTAGTCAAGAAAAACATTGACTGAAGCATTGCAAAGGACTGAATTGTTGTCAATAGCAACAAACATATTGGGAAAGTCAGAGACAGTGAAAAAACACAAACACCACACCTGCACATAAATACTAACTTTCTAAGATAAATATTTGCTGCAAGTAATTAAGAGTAGAACGAGGTGAAGCAATGCTATAGTCCGCCATCTTTATTTTAATATTGGATGCAACCATTATTTTATGCGGGACTACAGGTCATAACTTGAGGGGAGTTAAAAATCCATGATTTTTAAAATGCTTTGATCAATAAGAGTCTAAGTTACAGCGAAACATTATTCTGATTTTTCAGTGGACCAATAAATACATTTGACGGGAAAATATAAAAACATAATCACAACACAATTAAAACAGATTGCTGCATTATGAGGATCACTTCCCTGTTAAGTTAGTGGTTCATGCTTATTTGAATCCGAACATAACAGGCTTCTATATCACCTTGCTATGCCCAAATGTGTTCTATTTTTATAGAAGAACCTTCCCAAATAAAAGAAATTCTAATATTTAAAAAAAATAAGAGGTAGTTACTAAACTATATACTTCAACACTCTAGCAAGAGAAGAGACATGTTGATGAACTAGCCTTGCACTGTGAGTGTTTTATTGTTTGTAGTCTTTAAAATACCTGTTTTTTCACAAATAAAAACATATTGGGACAGGACTTATAACTTGTACCCACAGGGCTTGAAGTCTAGCTGCAGCTCAATTTCCAGGCAGTGAATCACATCTAATATTGAAATTTAAATAAAATATTAAAATTAATTCATTACAATAATATTACAAGCAGTGAACATCAAGTGATGCCTCAGATTAATAAAGAGAAACAGTTCACTCACCTCAAAACATATTGGGGAAGGAATTAAAACTTGGGGGCTTGCAGTCTAGCCACAGCTCAATTTCTGCAATATATCACTTTCCAGCAAGTGAATCAAATCTGAAATTAAAATAAAATAAAATAGAAGCCATCAGTGGTTACAGGGTTCAAGTACATCTGCCTCCTCTATTTACTAAGTTCCAGCAGCATATGCACCTATAGATGTGAGGACAAGACCACAATGGTGTTTCTATGCTACAAAGACTCCTTTAGGATGGGTTGCCTGGGATGTTAAGAAAAGTGGTAAGATGAAGTATTCAAATGACTTTTTCATTGCTGACAGTAGTTTAGAGAAGTTATATTGACAAAGTCTGAACTACGACTTTCCGGGGAGAACTGTTGATGCCAGAAGAGAATGGTCTTAGAAAGACAGTCGCTTTATGGAAGTGATGAACAGTTCTTGTAAGATGGTGAATGGTCATTATCAAGTGGATCTCCCTCTAAGAAATCCAGATGTGAAATTGCCTAACAATCGGCATATGGTAGAGCACAGGTTAAAGGGTCTGTAGGCGAAAATGAACAAGAATTCACAATTCAAGGCAGACTACATAGAGTTCATGGGAAAGATGATTGCAAATGGGTATGCGGAAAAGGTACCTGATGGAGTGACGGCTGAGGGGGGGTGGTATATACCCCATCATGGTGTATATTACCCCAGAAAGCCAAACAAGATAAGAGTGGTGTTTGACTGTGCAGCGAAGTGTGATGGTACATCGCTGAATGATGTCTTGCTACCTGGGCCAAACCTAATGAATGATCTTAAAGGCATACTCATGAGATTCAGAGAGTTTCCTGTAGCCTTCTCAAGTGATATTGAGTGCATGTTCTATCGGGTGAAGGTGCCTGAGTGTCAACAAGACCTGTTGAGATTTGTATGGTTACCATAGGGAGACCCGAAGCCCAAGGTTTATCATATGGCAGTGCATTTGTTTGGGGCTGTGTCTGCACCATCAAGTGCTTATTATACCTTGCGAAAAACTGGTATAGATAACATATGCAATGCAAGAGAAGAAACATTCAACACACTACATAACAATTTCTACATGAACGATGGACTGAAGTCAGTGGAAAATGTTGAACAAGCCATTCAACTGGTGAAGGATCTGAAGGCTTTGTGCAAAGAAGGAGGCTTCAGCTTCACCAAGTGGTCTAGCAATGTGCGAGAAGTTTTGAGAGAGATCCCCCTGAATGATAGAGCTATAGAACAGACGGATTTGGATCTGGAATCATCTCAGCTTCCTACAGAGCGAGCACTAGGAGTATTGTGGAATGCAGAGACCGATGAGTTCCAATTCAAGTGCTAAATCAAGAAGATGGAGATGACAAGAAGGTCGATGCTGTCCGTTGGTTTTTATAGCTTCGCTCCTCATTCCAGCAAGGAGTGTGCTCCAGAAGATCTGCAAAGAAAAAGTTGGATGAGACGATGAACTAAGAGATAACATATTTGGCAAATGGCAGATGTGGAAAACAAGCATGCAAGATTTGGAAGGAGTAAGGATTCCCCGATGCTATGTACCAGCTGAATTCGGAAAAGTGACATACAGAGAGCTGCATGCTTTCGCTGATGAAATTGAATATGGTTGTGTTGTCTATCTCAGACAAATCAACTCAAGTGGAGATGTACGCTGTTCATTTGTGTTCACAAAGGCAAGAGTAACTCGTTTGAAGAAAATTACAATACTAAGATTAGACCTTACGGCAGCAACATTGGCAGAGAGATTAGTCTCAATAGTTCAAAGAGATTGACAAAGCAATCTACTGGACAGACAGCACAACGGTTTTGAGATATATTAGGAATGACAAAGCAGGGTACCACACCTTTGTTGAGAAGCTACAGCTCCTGAACAGTGGCATCATGTGGATACCAAGAGAAAACCATCAGACTTGGCATCACGGGGTGTTAAGACAACTGACGAGTTGAATGATAGTAATTGGTTTTGTGGACCAGGCTTTCTGTGGGAGAAGAAAGCAGAATGACCAGAACAGGTGATTTCCATGTGGATAGAAGAAAATGACCCAGAAGTGAAGACTAGCTATTCAGTTTGATGACACATAAATTGTAGTTTCCATGTTGACAAGAATTTCATAGTAAAGCACGCAGTTAGTACATGTTGATGTTAGTCCCTTCCATTGGAGGTGTTGGGAAATTGTTTCGGTGAGACATGGTTCTTTATGTTATTATATTTACCGTGTTTACAGTATTATATTTTATTAAATTGTATTTTCCTATGTGACTTGTACATGTATATGCCTGTGTATAGATATTTATGTTTGTATTTTGAGAATAATCGAGTAGTGTATTTAGTTATTTCTTTGTGTATTTTTTCAGTTAATCGTATCATATCGCATGGTTATGTGATAGATGGTGCGCATTAAAGACAATATATTTCTCAAGTCAAGCCTCCATGGTGTCATTTAATTTTATTGCGTGAAAGGGACCCACAGTGCTGTTAAATCTTCTGCAGCATAATGTCTAAAAACGTTGGTGTTTCAGGCATATATTTTAGGCATATATTCTTGATCTAACGCACAGATACACATTATCAGCAGAAGATGTACAGTTGTGTTGACTGTAGCTAGCAGAAGTCTGTATATCAGGCTGTATATTCTAACAGCATGAAGCATTGACGTGTAGACTGGGAAAAAGGTTATTATATTCTGTGAAGTTTATTATTGACAATGCCTGAACTATTGCCCGTGATCTTTATGATATACATTTGTACTTAGTATCAAAGAAAGCATAGGAACAATAATCAACTGCACAACTAGTGTTTATGCTGGGGGTATCAGATGACATCTAGTGTAAAATATATACAAGAGATGGAGGCACCATCGATCCCACATTTTTAAACGGGGAATTTTAGACGAAAAAAACGAATAAGATTTGTTGCTTTCTCTGACAACTTACATTTAGTTCACCTTTGGACTATTTAGAATTTGTCATGCACTGTCACGAGTTCGCGAGTAGGGCTACATATTACCCCCCAAAACATCAAATAATGATCAACATATTTACCGCCGCGTGCGTGATTTCTTAACCAGTTTACAGTTACACAGTATAAAACAATTTAGATGCATATATAGACAGAGACAGGAATGTACACCGGTCAAACTTATACATACAACGCCACAAATGAAACCTTTATTAGGTAAAACAAGAATAATGCTTGGCATAGTTACTCATCTCCAGTAGTCTGGTCCACCCCTGCATTACAGTAAGTGCGGCATTCACCATGCGCTAAAACATAGTAAGGTGGAGGTGCAATACACACACCAAAGCAAAGTCGGTAATAATACGACAAGGGGGCGAGAGAACATCCAATACTATACAAGATATTAAATAAATTGGCAAGAAAAATAACAGCTCTTATAAATTAAAAAGAAGGATGGTATAATAACTGAAATTAACTAGTGTGAGTGTATGAATGTCCAGTACCTGAATTACCTAATGAATGTCAAGTGGTAGAAATACCCAGATAAATGGTGACTACAGTTCACACGTTGAAGCAAGCGTCGACAGTCCGCCTGCCTTTCCTTTCCCACATAACTTCAAACTTTGATGTCAAGGTAAGGCAAAATGAGGATCCACTCACTAGATTTTGGGGTTGATTAGCTTGGGCATTTCCAGCCAGTAAAAGACTGGAACAGGAACACTAAGAAACATGTGGTCGAAGTATTTCTGATGACCTCCCATTACATTGTTATTACATACAGACATATGGTTCATTTCTAAGTGAATGTAAAACTATAGAATTATTTAAAATAGGATCTGAAAAATCGTTCGATGATCCCCAGTTTTACCATAATGTGTACTTCATTTTTTACAGTACATGCATTACGTGTTGCAAATGATATATGCCATAGAACAAACAAGATCTTCCAAGGTCAGTTGTATATAATGGCAATTGATGTTTGACTATTTCTATAACTGTGGCAGTATATTTTCTCAATACTCGATCTGAGAAACAGTAAGTTCGGAGCCAAGATGTACATCCCGAATTGTTTCGTCTCACCTTATTCGTTCCTTAACATGGTAGTGTCCTTGCCTTGTGATCTTGGAAAATTTGGCATGACAGTCTTTCTGCTTGTGGCTGATATGTGAACATGTGACATCTGACTGAGGGGTATGTTATGTGTGGTGTTAAAATTATGCACAGCTACGGATTTACCATGACTTTGGGTAAACTGGCATGCCTAATCCTGCAATTTTGCAGCTTTGCTCGTGTTTAACACTGGCATTCTCTCAAAAACATTGATATTTCAGAGCTACAAGTGCTATAATTCTGTGGACACAAAAACAAATCTTGACATGTTAATCCACTGTGCCAAGTACTGCTTAGTCTTTATTTAGCTTTTGACAAAATGTGCTTGACCAAATCCCCGTCACATGTTTCTTCTACAGCAAGCGCATCATGGCCATCAAAGCTTTCCTTTAATTGACCACACCTCAGAAACATTGCTTCCACCCGCAATTCCGTACACAAATTTGAAATCGATTTTGATAGATGTGCATGTCATCACGATCTTCACATCCTGGAAGGTACTGAATTTTGTAGCATATGGAGATTAATTCACATTATTTTGCAGTTCTAGTTTTAGAATCAAGGAGTGTTAATTCAGTGGCGTCCTCTCTTTCAGTCTGCAATTTGGCAAGTTCAAATCTAACTACTTGCTCTATCCATTGGTTTTCTCTAGTTTAGTCGTTTCTTGCTCAATATAAACTGCTTGTTCATTTTTTTCCTTTCTAAAGTTCAGCTTTATTACCAAGAAGTTGCGGGGCCCTTTCACACAATCAAAAGAAATAAATTCATGGAGACTCAACTTCAAGGATATATCATCTTCCAATATGTAACCATTTATTTCGTATGCACAATTAACTGAAACAATACACAAAGAAAATTACTTACAGTATTTGAAAGATTCAAAATACAAAAATAAATATTCAAACATGAGCATATAAAATTCACAAAGAAAGTATAAATTTGGTAGAACGCTCAACGAATACATATCAGCTACATGCAGCAGTGGCATGATTAAGAACAATGTTTCACCAAAACAATTTCCCAATACCTCCAAGCAAGAGACTAAAATCTACATATACCAGTGGCGTATATGACCATGATCTTCAGTTATACCAGGAATTGAAAAAAAAAATGAGACATTTTCTATCATCAAAACACAGATTACCGATGAGATGTTTTGGCTAAGGCAAATGTACTATTTCTAACCACATAAAAATTACATGGCTGTTTATAAAGTAGACATGAAACTAGTAAATCTACTGCACACACTTTCAGTAATATGAAATACCTTGCCGCATAAACACGTGCAAATGAATCACTCTAAAAAACGGTATGGAACGAGCGAACGTGTAACATGGTTGAAACAATCCAGAGTAAAATGGTCTAAAATACACAATACAGTTAACTTCTCACTCAAAATATAATAGCAAAAACTGATAAAGAAATAATCTATACATACCATGGTCTTCTACTTGAGACGCAACCAATTCATTCTAAAAGACAATGGCTGACTGTAAAAAGGTCAGGTCAAACGAACGCAATTCGCAAGCCGCCAAAGAGGGCGCTATATCGCAAACCAACTGGGAAATTTGGCCTCAACAGAAGTATTTTAGAATATCTGACATAGACTATGTGATGTACAGCCTCGGACACTATTTTCTGTGATGGTAAGTAATTGTACTAATCAAAACTATACCTTGAACCTGAGAATGTCTAGGTGGTTTGGCTAGGCTATGCTACCCCCGCGTGTTTGTATGTGTCTATGAAAGCATTCAGGGGACATCTTGTCGAGAGTCGACCATGCTAAGGGACGACGTCAAAAGATCGATGTCGGATAAAAAACTTATTTCCTTTAGTTTGGGGGTGGGGGGTTTTGACCCCAAAAAATTTCCATCCGACAAAAAAGATTTTATTTTTTAATGAAGTCAAACAAATCTTGGAGTATTTGTAGTTCGTTTTTTTCTATCCAATCATGGACAGAAATAACCGAAAGGGAAAAAAACAGAAAAATTGTTTGGTTCGAGTGTAAATCTGTGCGTCAAATGAGGTGCATTTGTAAAATCTTTTTACACCATAGACCTCTTTCTAAGGTCTATGTTTACACCCACCCGACAGCCAACTGCTATGCAATACTACAGTCCGATTATCAATTTGTATTTAATGGTGAATGTAGTCTGACGCCATGACCAATATTTATCAATTAACTTTCAGTGGGGGGTAGGGGGGTTTGGAAAAAAACTAAAGGAATTAAGTTTTTTATCCAACATCGATCTTTTGACGTA